GGGTCGATGGAGAGACGGGTGGGTGGGTGCACACACAGATAGGTGGATGGACAGATGGGTGGGTAGGTGAGTGGATAGGTGGATGGATGGCTGGGTAAGTGGTTAGAAGGATGGATGACTTGATAGCTGGATAGATTGGTGGATAGATGGATGGACAAATGTGTGGTTGGATGGATGGATGGATGGATGGATGGATGGATGGATGGATGGATGGATGGGTGGATGGATAGATGGATGGATGGATGGATGGATGGATGGATGGATGGATGGATGGGTGGGTAGGTGCATGGAAGGATGGATGATTTGATAGTTGGATGGATTGGTGGATAAATGGATAAATATGTAGCGGTGGTAGGGGATGGCAGTGTTCTGGGTGAGTCTTGGATGACAGATCATCCCAGAAGCCTTTGTACAAGACTGACTTTCCCTTTCTGCTGCTCCCAGCAGCCTCCACTCTTGTAGGTCTGCTGGTTTTTCCAGTCACGCTGGCTTCCCCATTAGCCAAAGAAGTCTGTGAAGGCTCCTCCGTGTACTACAGTGGAACATGCCAGCTGAGCTGGGGCTATGCCACTGCCATCCTCAATGCGGTCCTGACCAGCCTGCTTGCTGTCATCGGATGGCCTCGGATGACCACAAGCCAGAGGACAGCCATGCCCACCCCTCGTGACACTCAGGGAATCACCCTTGAGTCAGAATAAGCAAATGAGCATCACCCAGGAAAGCAAAGGACAAAGAAGAATAATCTATTCTACTGTTGTGGAAATTCTTTAGCCAACAGCCTTTTGGGTACCGGCCCATTGGGGCATGGCCTGAGGTACTACATGTGGACTGATAAGCCCAGATGGGAAGCATGCTCGCCCTTTTGGCTGGCAGTCCAAGTTTCTGTATGCAGTTCCAGCACCCACAGAGCAGAGGGCAGTGGCAACTTTCTTATTGTGAGTGTTCCCCAAATAAACAGTTGTTATCCTTTATTCCAGGCTCTCGTGAACTTCCTTAATTATGTCTACACTCTACATACTCAGGTTCAAATCCCACCTCCTTTGATTCCCATGCTGTGTGACCTCAGGCAAGTTACTTCCTTTCTGGACTCATTTATTCTTGGGTAAATTGGAGGTTGGCATAATGCCTACTTTGTGGAGTGAGTTATTATCAAGGACATTGATTTGCCATATGTAAACAAAGCATGTTGTGCCATACCTGGCACAGAGTTCCGCCAACATTTGCCATCGCCCTACCCCTGGCTCACAGTACTTAGGGAACGCGGGTGAGAATTAAATATATGGATGGAAAGTACCACCCTGGAAAGAGGGCTGTCTAATTTAAAACTCTTTTTTTTGTTGTTGTTTTGAGACAGGGTCTCGTGATGTAGTCCTGATTGTCCTGGTACTCTATATAGATGAGGCTGGACTCAAACTCACAGACATCTGTCTACCTCTGCCTTTCAAGTGCTGGGATCAAAGGCATGCGCCACCATGGCCTTCTGATTGGACACCCTTTCCATGTTTTTGCTCTTCCCTTATAATCCCTCCTCTCTTAGGGGGTTGGAGGGTCTTTATTTCCCATGAGCTACTTAGTGACTCTGTTGTGTGCAGGACGGTGCTCTCTGCTGGGTGGGGCTCAGGGCCTGTCCCACCTTCCACATTCGCAGCACACTGAGGAGGAAACCCTGCTCTTCCTGGGAGCTCAGCTTCCATCTGGTTCTGATGTCTGTCTGTCTGTCTCCAGACTTCTTGTCTGTAATGCTTTATGTTGACTGTCAACTTGACAGGACCAGGAATCTTCACCTCAGAAAGCAGGCTCCGTGCACGCCAGCTAGAGACTCCTAATGGGTTGGCTGAGCTGGGATGATGCACTTGAATGTGCAGCACGTCCAGCAGGCTGGGTTCCTGACTGCACACGAGTGAGAGGGCCAGCTGAGCCCCAGCGTTCAACAGGAACTCAGGGACGATGGGTTCCCAGCCAGGACTTCTCAGCAGCATGAAAGGAGTGTGAAGTTGGGAGCATAGGCCCCAGTCCCTTGCATCTATCCCAGCCCCCAGGCCTGAGAGTTATATTGGTCTGGACTCCAAATCCCAGCAGGCCAGATCCTGACCCCTCCCTGGGGCGGGGGCGGTCAGGATCACTTCCACAGAGTATTTAAATGAACTCTCAAAAGAGGAACACATGGTCTCTTCCCCCCCTTCCTCCTCCACCCCTGGTGGTCACCTTCGAGGCCTCCCGGTTCCCCCTCAGGTAACCCAAGAGCACAGAACTCCCATTAAACCTGGATACTTCTTAATTTGGCTTGTTTTGATTTGGCTTGATTGGGATTTTGTGTCGGCAGAGAGCTCGCGTTAGGAAATATTCCCAATAAGGAGGGCACCCCCTTAGATGGAGTCCAGAACCAGGGGAACGTCGACTTTCCCCATTGCATATGTATGAAAACTAAGTCTCAGAGAAGTTAACTCTTACCCAAGGACACACAGCCAAAGCACTTGTCATAAAAATTTCCACCGTGGGGGCCTAGAAGCACTAAACATGTACCTCTCCACGCTAACGGCAACTGAAGTTTTAACACCAGTGAGTTTCTTAGGTTTACATACAGAGCAACAAGTGAGGGCTGCAGGAAGGAGTGTGGGTGACATTAAATCATCCACCCTGGAAGGTCTGTCCCCAGCATGAATGATGGCTTCCTTGTGGATGCATAGATGGAGACCCCTTCCTCTAGCCTTGCCAACATACACACACTACGCTCTATCTCTCCCTGAGACCCTCAGGCCATGTATAATTAGAGCAGAACTGGGTTCAGCTGGTGGGGAGGAATGGCTAGACATGCCAGAAAAGAGCCCGTGACCCTTCCTAGGAGTCGCCCAGCCAGGGTAAAGATGCTCATGGCAGCTTTCATGGCTGCATGAGCCTTAGTTTTCATGTCAGTAGTCCACAAGCCCTGCTGGGACACAGCTGACCTGATGAAGATGGTGGCTGATTGCTTGGAGGGTAGACAGGGACAGAGGACCCCAGTCCAGGTGGCATCGTGAGAAAGTCACGCCTGTTTCCATCTCTTTGGATGCTAGTGTATCCTCAACGCTTCTCACTCTTACTCTGCATTCGTTCCCTCCCTCCCTCCCTCCCTCCCTCCCTCCCTCTCTCTCTCTCTCTCTCTCTCTGTGTGTGTGTGTGTGTGTGTGTGTGTGTGTGTGTGTGTGTGTGTGTTCTAACATGGAGCACAAGTGCGTGAGGCCAGAGGTCAGCCTGGAGTGCTGTTTCTTGGGTACCATCTCTCAGGTCCAAAGGAAACGCCAATTCCCCAAACTCCAATGGCAGCCCAAATATCCAGAGATAGGCTCAGGAAGCTTCCTGGTAATTAGATAAAGGCCAGAATTCCTCAGGAACGTGCAAAACTGGCTCCCCTCTACCAAAAGAAGCCATTTCCCTTACTTCATCTGGCTCTCCAGTTAACACACACCCTTAGCAGGTCCTGCTGGCCTCCAGGCTCCCTCAGTCCAGACACGCAAGCACTGTTACATGTTTCAAAGCTCCCATGAGAGTCTCCTGGCTCCCCCGCTCCAGCTACTCACCGTCCTTCTAACATGGCTATTCTAACTATCCCTAGGCTCCTGGTAATCTCATTCTGTGTTCTCTATTCTCTAGCCCCTGTTATTTTCTCCTCTCTTGCAGATAGCCCCAGCCATGTCCAGTCTCCTTTCTCTGTTCTGGACTCTTCTGATGCCTCAGACTGATCTGTCCCTCATATCTACAATAAACCCTTCCCACACCATGGAGGGATCGTGTAGTCAGTTTACACACCATCCACCTTTTTAAGACCGTGTTTCTCAACGGCAGGACTGGTTGGCCGGTGAGCCAAGGGTACCTCCATCTCCACTTCCCCAGCACTGGCAGTCCAGATGTGTAGTGCAAACCCGGCTTTTTTATGTGGGTCCTGGAGACCACATTCAGGTCCTTGTGCTACGTGGTAGGTACTTTGTCCACTAAGCAGCCCCCAGCTTCACTCTTCTCCTAGCTTCTCCTAGTTTGAATGTTAAATGCCGCCAGTTTTGTGTTAGGAGGCAGTGATGGAACCTTAAAGAGACAGGGTTGAGGGCTGGAGAGATGGCTCAGTGGTTAAGAGCATTGCCTGCTCTTCCAAAGGTCCTGAGTTCAATTCCCAGCAACCACATGGTGGCTCACAACCATCTGAAATGAAATCTGATGCCCTCTTCTGGCCTGCAGGCAGACACACAGACAGAATATTGTATACATAATAAATAAATAAATATTTTAAAAAAAAAAAAAGAGACAGGGTTGAGAGTGGCAAACACACCAAACAAGGAAGGAGCAGAGGGCTCTGGCTCACTCTGCTCAGAGAGGGTATTTCAGGCCAGTAATCATTTGCAGTTTCTGCTGCCCGTGCTGGAAGCCCTGGCTTCCCCTTTGGAGTTTTAAAAGCTTGGTTTAAGGACACTGTGCAGAATCACGCCCAGTGAGGGGCATGAAGGACGAGGGCGTAGGTTCCAGGACAGGGAGGACCTCCTTGGTCATCGGCTAGAGAGAAGACGGTCTGCCAAGGTCAGAAATGGACAGCACCTCCTCCCACTGCCCTGCCTTGGCCATCCCTGTTTCTACTGGGACCTCCCCTGAGAGAGAAGGGGGAGGGAAGGTGACTGTTCCCACCATCCTGGCATGAGAAGGTGAGGGCCTCTCAGACTCTGCCCTAAGCCAGAAAGATGAGATAGTGAGTACCTATAATCACAGCACTTAGGAGGATCAGAAGTTCAAACCCAACCTCAGTTAGCCTCTGCTGGATTGAAAGGTCAAGACTAGCCTGGGCTACATGAAACCTTGTCCACCTCCCCCGCCCCCACCACACACACATACTTTTAATCCTAGCACTTGAGGGGCAAAGGCAGAGGAATCTCTTGTTCAAGGTCAATCTGATCTATGTAGTAAGTTCCAGGCCAGCCAGGACCTCATCAAAACAAAAGCAAAAAACAAAGAAGCAGCAAAAATAACTAGACCCACACTTAGGTTTTCCACTCAGCTATATTTACTCTGAATAGAACCACCTCTTAGTAAACACAAGACACTTGGGCAACACTAAAAAGAGAACTCCCAGGGCAGGGGGACACTCCCCAACACCCAACTCCAGGACAGGAGAAAACACAACACACAGACATCAGCTGGTAAGTGGAATAAATAGGAGGCACTCAGAACCACAAGCACACAGGCTGGAGGCACGAGGGGCGGTGGGAGATCCTGTGCTATACTCCACACTGGTCAGTTACAAAAATAAATAAGGGTCAGGGGGTTTGGACCTGGCTGTGCTAAATCACCACCCTTTGTGGCAGCAGCCCGGTGGCAAAATAAACCTTTATCTGCTGGCCCTTTCTCCTGTCCTAGAAAGCTCGGGGAGCTGGCTGGGAGGTCGCCTCCCTTCCTGCTGCCCTGGGCAGTCTGTGGAGATCCAGTAAGGGCTCTTTCTGTCCACCCCGCCCACAGTGTGAAGGGCAGAGGTTTGACTCGGGAGCTGTGACAGAGGGAGGGCATCACAAGGCCGCAGAGTAGGGCCAGGCTGAAGGACCCTGGAGATATTTCAAACCACTCCTGTCTCCTCTCTCCGAACTCCTACTTGGCATTCCTTGACTTCCCCAGAAGCAGCTTCTGCTGTGACTTTTGATTTCTGCTGCACCCAGACTGCTTTACTGGGGGATAGGGAGCAGGCACACCAGTTCAACAGGGTCAATGTCTGGGTTGGCAGGTCTTGGCACGAAGGTGGAGAGGAACCGTCGTTCTCAGACCCACCATCATGGAGCACAGATCACTCCTGTCCTGGGACAACCCCTGGCTCGTCCCTCCTCTGTGCCGAGTGAACGAAGCACTCAGAGAAGAGCTAGTTTACCTGAGCAGGGCTTCCACAAACACACGGTCTGCAGGCTTCTGAGCCCAGGTCCACAGCTGAAAGCTGGGAGGTCTCCCCTCGGGAGGGGAGTAAGGGCCAGGCTCTAATCAGGAGCTCCAGCCTCCTTCCTCCAAACAGTTCCTGCATCTCCAGGGCACTCACAGAATGCCCTCTTAAAAGTCTCCTGGCAGCCGGCAGAGCAAAGTCAGAAAACAGCGAGTGAGACCTGACTCCAGCAGGACTGTGGGAAGCTGTGTGCTTCTGACTGGGCCATGCAACAGACCTCAGGTGACCCAGCCTGAAGAGAACAGACAGGGCTATGCCAGTAGCCCCTCCACCAAGCCAGTGGTGGGGCACATCTGCTGTGCAGGGACTTTTGGGTCACCTTGGGCGATGGTACGGGTAACATCTGGTGGTTTGAAGCCAGGGATGATGCTCAGACATCTGAGACTTTGAATGTGAGCAATGCCTAAGGGAGACCTTGCTTTAAGTCAGCCTGGCAGGAATGTTCTGGAACACTGCCAGGTGCAGAGGAAGCCCCTGAGGCCTCTCCTGTACAGATGAGGAAGGGAACAGGGACAACAGGCCCAGAGGCTACCTCTACTCACAACCCCAACTCCCAAGAGGGGGAAATCCCAGTCTCGGGCAATCTTTGGTCAAACAGGAAAACGTAAGGCTGAGCTGGGCTCCTCCACGCCACCGTCCAGTGGCCAAGGTCAAGGGTATGGCTCTCTGCACAGCAGCCCACACTAGTCCACAGACACCAGCACCTCGTGCTGGGCTGCAGGAGGCGAAGGTGTAGACGGCAGCAGGGAAGCCTGGCTGCCGCAGCCCTCACTTGTTCTCGATCAGGATCTGCACTTTGTGCACGAGGTCCCGGGCCAGCTGCAGGATCTGCTTGGCGTTGTGCCGCTCTGCCATTTCTGAAAGAGAAAATACGCGCATGAGCAGCCTTGTGCGTCAGCCCTGGGAGAGTCCTCGAGCTCCTGCTGTGAGTCCTGGGTGTTCCCCCTCAGAGTCTGACAGGAGCTATGCACCTCCATATCTTGGCTTCCCCATCTGTAAAATGAGGGGTGTAACAGGAAGTCACTGCACGACGTTACCATGGAAACAAAAAGAAATGATGCTGGCTCAGAGTGTGCTGGGAGAAGGCTGGTTCTTCCACCCTTCCCTGCAGGCAGAATGTGTGATATTTTACAAGTCTGTGTCAGGCCAGGCACAGCAGTGCACACCTTTAATTCCAAAACTGGGGATGCTGAGGCAGGAGGATTGAGAGTTAGAGGCCAGCCTGGGATACACAGCAAGATTTTGTCTCAAAGATAAAAGGTAGTATAAAGCATGTGGCAGATTTTTTTTAAGATTTATTAATTTATTATATATACAGTATTCTGCCTGCATGTATGCCTGCACATCAGAAGAGGGCACCAGATCTTATAGATGGTTGCCAGCCACCATGTGGATGTAGGGAGTTAAATTCAGGACCTCTGGAAGAGTTGTCAGTGCTCTTAACCTCTGAGCCATCTCTCCAGCCGTCCCCTCCCCATGTCGCAGATTCTTAAAGACTCTATGGGAAGGAAGAAAGCCATGGGCGGTGGGGAGAAGGAGAGGGAAGAACTATCAAGGGTCACACAAAATGCTTAGATCTTCAGATCTCTGTATATAGCAGGATAATTTGAAGCTTGACTTTATCACAGAGAAACCATTTCATAAAGAGAAAGAAACCTAAGACAGCTAAGCCTAAAGCAGCTGCTGAGGTACCCCTAGGGTTCCTAGTAAACTCTTGGGGACATTGTGGGATATGCAGTCATTTGGAGGGGAACTTGGCAACACTTGCCAGTTCCACGCATGCAGCCCGGATAAAAAGCAAGGACAGTGTGAAAGACTCGAGGAAGCAGGAAATGGGGGGAGGGAATGTGACCTCATCGTGAGGCGTGCACATTTGTGCATGGCCCGACAGGTGCGATATTCTACAACCAGTGACTGCACCAAGTAAGGGACGAAGGGAAATGGGGTGTCCTTCAGGCTGTGGGTGTTAAAGAGCTTCTGAGTGGTGAGGACAGGACAAAGGTGTCACATGGTTTGGAGCTCACGCCTCACCACTGGGAGTGTTGATTTGCATGGCGTGCATACTGCGGAAAAGTTAGGGGTCTTCTGGACTGAGGAAGTTTGGGAACTGGGGGTGTTGAGGCGGGAGGATTGTGCTAGGGTGCGGAATGCTTTGGGTTCTCCATCCCACTTCTAACTGAAACAAACAGAATTTCCAGTAACAGAGGACGCTTAGTAAATCACAGGACAGTCATGCAGGGTGTGCATACTGCGACCCCGAAAGAGAATCACGGGCGAAAATTTTTGAAAAAGTAGATATAAGTGGATTCTGCGATGGCAACAACAGAAAATAAGCCACTGTGGAAAAGAATGGAAAGGTAAGTAGGAGTTGGGGCAGAGTCTTATGTAGCCCAGGCTGACCTTGAATTTACTATGTAGCTGAGGATGACCTTAACCTTATGATTAGTTGAGATTCTTTTTTCAAATTTAATTTATTTTTTGAGGATTTCATACATGAGTACCATATTTACATAATTTCTGCCTCTTGCTCTCCCCCTACAAGTCCTCCTCTGTCCCCCTACTTCCTTTAAACTTCATGTCCAAGAATAATTATTATTGTTACATATGTGTATATATAGAAATATTTCCTGCTGAGTTCATTTGCACGGATATGAGTTTAGGGCTAATCACTTCAGATTGTGTAGTAACCTATCAGTGGGATTCATCCCTGGGGAAACTGATTCCCTCTCTCTGCCTGTGGCTCTTCATCTGGAGGGGAGGCCTTTTGAGTTTCACCCATCCTAGTTGGTTTGTCAACAGGCGCTGTCATTGTTCCCATCATGTGTAGGTGACTAATCCTTCTAGATTTCGTAGGTGCAGCTCCCCTAGCATATATGATCTGGCAGTAGACATTCTGGTCCTCAGAAAAGCCTTTAACAAACCCCCAAATATCTTCATGATGAAAGTCCTAGAGAGAGTGGGACTCAGGGGGACATGTCTCTCCGTGATAAAGGCTACAGGTGACAAACACACAGCCAACATCATCCTGAGTGGAGAAAAGCTCAAAGGAACCCCATTAAAATCAGGAAGGAGACAGCACTGTCCAGTGTCCCCGCTCCTTTTCAATATAGGGCTTTAAGCACTATCTGGGACAAGAGTCAAGAGAAGAAAATTAAAGGGATACAGACTAAAGAAGACAAACTAAGCCAAGTGGTGGTGGCCCATGCCTTGAATCCCACACAGCACTTGGGAGGCAGAGACAGGTGGATCTCTGTGAGTTCAAGGCCAGTCTGGTCTATGGAACAAGACTGCTAGGGCTGTTACACAGAGGAAACCCTGTCTTAAAATACAAACAAACAAGAAGCCAATCTATTCCTATTTGCAGATGACATGATACTATATACAAAAGATGCTAACTATTCTACCACAAAACTTCTAGAAATGATCAACACTTTCAGCAATGTGGCAGGATACCTAATGAACTTACAGAATCAGTGGCTTTCCTATACAGCAACAGCAAAAAAAGCTCAGAGATCATGGATCTCTTTTTAATATCCCAATTAAGACAAACCTCAGTGTGAAACTTCAACATTGCAACTGCTAGGGACCACACTCCCACTCACATCTGCCTCAGAGAAAATAAAATATCTAGGAATGAACCTCACCAAACAGGTGATGGACCTCTGCAATACAAATCTTCAAACCTCTGGAGAAATATTAGAAAACACTAGAAAATGAAGATCTCCCATGCTCATGGATTAGTAGAATTAGCACTGTGACAACAACACCTCTGTCAAGAGCAATGTACAGATTCAGTGCAACCCAATCAAATCCTCATCTCACTTTTCACAAAAACAGAAAGAAAAAAAAAACATTCTAAAATCCATAAGGACCCATGAAGACCCTGGATTGCCAAGGCGACCTAGACCAGGGAGAATAATGCTGGACGGGAGTAACATTCCAGGTTTCAGACTATATTACTGAGCCATAGTAATAAAAACAGCTTGGTCCTGTTACAAAAACAACGGAACAAAGCAGAAGACCCAAATGTGACTGCAAATAACTACAGCCATCTATTAACTAACAAAGACTCGAAAATAATGTTAGAGAAAAGAGTGTCCACAATATAAGCCCCTGGGAGAACTGGATATCCACATACAGAAGAGTGAAATTAGACCCCTATCTATCACCCTGCATAAACCTAACTTCAAACGGACCAAAGAGCCTGCGCAGCTTGACACAGGCTACAGTCATCCTCAGTTGAGAAAATGCCTCCCTAAGGTCAGGCTGCAGGCAAGCCTGTGGGGCACTGTCTTAGTGATTGCCGAGAGTCTTAGGCTTTCTAGTGCTGTGAAGAGACACCTTGACCATGGCAACTCTTATAAAGGAAAACATTTAATTGAAATGGCAGCTTATAGTTCAGAGGTTCAGTTCAGTCCCATCATGGTGGGGTGTCTGGCAGTGTGCAGGCCGACATGGTGCTGGCTACATCTTTATGCCACGGGAGGTGAATTGTGACCCTAGGTGTAGCTTGAGTGTATGAGATCTTACAGCCCACCTGATGTGGCAAGTCCTTTTGTATATATGTTGCTTTTATTGGTTAATGAATGAAGCTATTTTGGACAATGGCTTTGGGGCCATTTTCTTTCAAACCACTACAATAAGAAAGTTGGTTGGGCAAGCCACAGGGAGCAAGCCAGGAAGCAGCACCCCTTCATGGCCTTCCCATCAGTTCCTGCCTCCAGGTTCCTGCCCTGAACAGGACAGGAGTTCCTGTCCTGACTTCCTTCAGTGATGAACAGTGATCTGGAAACAGAAGAAAAATAAACCCTTTCCTTCCCAGGTTGCTTTGGTCACAGTGTTGCCTCGCAGGGACAGAAACCCTAATGAAGACAGACCTCAATGCGAAAGTGGAAACACTGAAATTGCTAGGAGGAAACACAGACCTTGCCTACAGGACACAGGGGTATGAGAAGACTCCTGATTAGAATTCCATTAGCTTAAGGATTAAGGCCAACAACTGACAAGTGGGACTTCACGAAACTGAAAAGCTCTGCCCAGCAAAGGAAAAAACCACTTGAGTGAAGAAGCCCACGGAGTGGGTGGGAGAAAATGCCGCCAGTAATCCATCTGATTAATTAAAAACTGGGCCTGAGACCTGAACGGAGTTTTCTAAAGAAAAGTTCATCATCCCCAGCAATTAGGAAAGTGCAAAACAAAACAACTTAGGTTTCATCTTGCCCCAAGTCAGAACGGCAAAGATCAGCAGAACCACAGATGACAATGTTGGATGGGATGTGGGGGGCGGGTCTCGTCCACTACTGGTGGGAATGCAAACTGGCCCAGTCACTCTGGAAACCAGTGTAAAGAGTTCTCAGAAAACTGAAAATAAATCTACTCCAAGACCCAGTTCTATCAGTCCTCGGCATATGCCCCAAGGACCCACGTCACGCTCCACAGACACTTGCTCAGCCATGGTCATTGATGCTCTGCTCAGAGCAGCGAGGAAATGGAAACCGAAGCCTTCTACGCTGAGGGCAGATAATGGAAATACGGTACTTCTGATCGTCTTGCCGTTACTTCCAGAGTGAGAATCGCAGGCGTACACTGCCACACCTGGCTCATCTGGGTGTAGTGGACTAGGCCTCACACACCTGTGTGAGCACTCAATCAGCAGAGCCACACCCCAGTACAGAGACTGCTTTTCTTTGTTTGGCAACAGCACTGAATCTGTGGTTTCCTGGTTGGCTTCTGGTGTAGGCGAAACTCACGAAGTTTGCCAAAGGTAATTTCTTAGTTTTGGTGTCAAACATCTCAAAAACGTGTAAAGCAGCACCGGAAATGAAGGAAACTAGGAAATGACTCCACTGCCGGGCGCCATCTTTGTAATTCCCGGTAAACCAAACAGTCCTAAACATAAAATTCTACTGGACAGCTCAAATCCAAAATCATTCCAGAAGGAAAAGCTGGCTTGAGAGAAACCTAGTCATGTTCCCGAAGTGGGTTGCAGGTGGCTTTCTCCTTTTCTAGAACCTTCTTTAAGTTTTGGGGTGAGAAGCGAGGGATGGAGCCCAGGGCCTGGTGTTTGTCAGTGCTCTATGATGGAGCTGCAAACCAGCTCTATCACCACTTTCAGCATTTAACTATTGTTTTAAGTGGCAATAGCGCTAGCAATTGCCTGGCTCATTGGGCGCTCACGGTACCTGTGAGGACCTTTTCACGTCTCATCATTTATTCTCAGGACTTCCCTTGAGGGAGGAGGTGTTTGCAGCATTTTTTTTCCTTGAAGAACTGAGGCCCTGAACATGATGTCATTTAGACAAGGCCACAGCCAGTGACCTGCTGGGGCCAGACTCCAAGCACCTACTCCTTGCCACTCCCACCTTTCCCACCCATGAACTCCTGTGGGGCAGACCCTGATATTTCACAGATGAAGTAGATGTTCAGGGGGAGGGCAGGACCCTGTCACTGGGTACAGCTGGCCAGTGGCAGAGCCAGGTGCTGCCCCAAGCCTGGAGAGAGCCACCTGGAGTGTTGAGATCCCAGCGGGTCCCTTGATAGAGCACTAAGGTGAACAGAGGACTGAGGAGACGCTCAGTGGGTAAGGGCACTTGCTGTCCAAGCAGAAGGGTGGAGGCAGGGGAATGACGGGCTTGTCAAGCTGCTGGCATCTGGAGCCCCGCCCCCGCCCCACCCCCAGCCCCACCCCTGGTACCATTGAAGAACTTGATGATGTCTGTGAAGTCCATGTTGTTCTCCAGGATGATATCTCGGTAGACCTCTACCAGTGCCAGCGCGATGAACAGGACATAGTGGGCAGAGGACACGTGCTTAGCGGCCCAAATAGTCTCCCACACGGAGAAGACGTCATCATAGACTAGCTCTGCAGGACACAACACACATGCGCATAGGAGCTGGTCCAGAACAGAGTGCAAGGTGAGCCCTCCCTAGTCCTCCCTGCAAGCACCCAGCTTCTCTAGGTGACAGTCCTGGAGCATCCCTGTGCTCACACCGTGCTACAGCAGGCAGAACTCGGGCTGGGAGGCAGGAGACCCAGACTCGGTCTAAGGAGCCCGTGTGAAGAATCTGAGCATGTGCGGGTTTGATTGGCATGGGCCTGTCCCTGCCTGCCCTCTACTACTGTCCTTCCTCTCTCTTCAGCAGCATTTACAGGTGGCTCTCAGTGATAGGCAAGCTGGTTGCTGCCTCAGCCTAACAAGGAGATGGAAGAGCCCTGAAGACGGTGGTTCTCAACCTTCCTAATGCTGTGACCCTCTAACACAGCTCCTCATCCATAAAATTATTTTCATTGTTACTTCATAACTGCAATTTGGTTACTGTTATCAATTGTAACATAAATACCTGAGAGGCAGGGTGTATTCTCATTGTTACAAATTGAACATAATTAAAGCATAGAGATTAATCACAAAAAACAATATGCAATTATATATCATAAAATATTTCTAACTACAAATAAATGAAATTTTATCTTGAAGCATGCTGTAGCATGGGTAGCAGTCTTATTAGAACAACAGTAAACTACATTGCTAAATTTTTCCACAGTATGTGCAAAAAGCCAAGTGCCAAGACTGAGATTGCTTCTTCAGTTCCTAAGACCATTGGAAATGTGCGTTTTCAGATGGTGTTAGGCCACCTCTGTGAAAGGGTCAGTTGACCCCAAAAGGGCTGTAACTCACATGTTGAGAACCTCCGCCTTAAGAGCAAGGCTACCAAGTCCAAAAAGCTGGCACTGGGTCTCAACCCCTCACTACCCAGCCAAGGACTGGGGGCTGGAGCTGTCCCATTCCAGCCTCTCCAGACCTCAACCTTGCCTGGGGCCTGCTGCTCACAGTAAAGGACCAGGGATGAGATGGTCAATGATACTGCACAGTGTGGGGCAGATGACTAACGCCACCATGCAAATCAAGTGCTCCTCGCCTCAGCGCAGGTTTGCACAACAGCGCGTATCCCGAGGCGACACTCCTGCTAAGTCCATCAGGAAACACGCTTGACGTCCTATCAACTGAAGCGCTCTTGATCTCCGCTAAGCAGGAAGGCAGATGGGAGGGACTCACCCCAGAGATGGTGGAACCAAGTTTGGGCCCTGGTTCCCCCATTCCTAGCTCCATATTTGACTTCTTAGTTTCCTCATCCGTGAAGGAGAAATCTTGGCGTGTATGTGTTCACGTGCACATGCATGTGCATGCCTAGGGAGGCCCAATATTGACGTCAATGTCCTCCTCTATCAATTTCCACCTCAGAGTTCATTGATTTAGCTGGGTTAGGTGGCCTCACAGAGCCCAGAACTCATCAGTTTGGCTGGTCTGGTGGCCAACTTGCATCTGCCTTCCCAGCACTGAATCACAGACATGTAACACACATGGCTGCACTTGGCCTTCTAAACTTCTTAAATTATCAACTAAATCATTAATTATTAATTATAATTAATTAAAAATAATAATATTAATAATATTAATTATTAATTAAGGTCAGGGGCACGTGGCACAGCACATGTGTGGAGGCCAGAGGATAACTTGTGGGAATAGGTTCTCTCTTTTAACCAAATGGATTCCAATGATCAAACTCAAATCCTCCATCTTGGTGGCAAGCACCTTTACCACCTCGCTGGCCCCCACACATAGATTTTTATATGGGTGCTGGGATCCAAACTCAGGACCTCATGCTTGTGCAGACACTTTATTGGCTGAGTTGTTTCCCAAGGCACTGAAATAGGGATTTTTATGATTCCTATTGCATAGTCATTTTGTGATAAGGCATGTGCCAATATGGACAGATCTGAGTAAATGTTCTCTCTTCTGCCACCTTTGCCCCAGTGCCCTTCACTCCCATGTCCTCTTCAGCCTCCACTTCCCCATCATTACCACCCCAGAAATTCTGGGGACAAGTTCCCAGGCGGCTATCTTTACCTCGTTTGAAATCCAGCAGGAACCAGCGGTAGCAGAAGTAGAAGTGGGTGTAGTCCCCATTCTGATGCATCAGCTCGAAGAGCTCTGAGTCCAGGATCTGATGGAAGGAGGGCAGGCCGTCAGGCCCCTGGAAAGAGCTGGGCACAGCGGAATCCTCTGGCTGTGCACTCACCCTGCACTCCAGGTGGCTCTCAGTGAGCACAAGGGTGCACGCACACCTCTCCAGAGAGGATTTACAATGGCCAGGCCAGCGTGGAGTTGGCTCAGATCAGGGGAAGCAAGTTAGAGCAATGAGACAAGCTCACACCCAAAGTGACAGACAGTAGCAAATGTTGGCAAGAATTCAGAGTGAACAGAACCCTCACGCATGGCTGATGGGAAAGCAGAATGGTACAACTCTGCCCCTGTCTCCCCAGCACTGGGCTTACAAAGGTATTCCACCATGCTTGGTTTTTACAAGGGTGTGGGGATCTGAACTCGGTCCTTTTTCTTGTGCTGAGCCACATCTCTAACTCTCTAACTCTCTCTCTCTCTCTCTCTCTCTCTCTCTCTCTCTCTCTCTGGTGTGTGTGTGTAGATCAAGGACAACGTGTCAATTCTCTCCTTGTACTTTGTGAGTTCAACCAATCAAACTATAGTCTCTGGGTTTGGCAGCAATCAACCCTGATCTATCCTGTTTCTTCAACCTTTTGTATCCAAAATCTTTAGTGGCTTTTTTGAATCCCACTAAAGCAGCAGCAAGAGCCACCGTGAGCTCGAGGACATTCAGAGCTCCAGTCTGCATAGATTCCCCTGCAGAGTTCTGCCTGAAATGGCCATCAGGCCTGCCTCTTGCAGATTCTGATTGGCAGCTAGGGAAATACATACCAACAATAACTTTGAGATTTCACATCACACCCAGTCAGAATGGCCACGATTGACAGAACCACCACCACCAAATGCTGGCCAGGGTGGAGAGGGGCACGCTCCCTGCTGGAGGGTTTGAGATGCACATGTGCAGCCACTGTGGAAATCAGTGCGGAGAACTCTCAAAAGCCTAAAAAGAAACCTAACTTCTGACCCAGCTGCAGCACTCCTCAGCATGTGCTTGAAGCACTCGGCGTCCTGCCCCATAGTTCATTGCTGCTCTAACCACAATAGCAAGGAAATGGAAACACCCGACATGTCCTTCCACTGGCAAACGGATGATGATGATGTGGTACTATACACAGTAGAACAGTATTTAGCTCTAAAGAAGAAGAAAACCATGTGTTTTGAAGGTAAATGAATGGAACTAGAAAAGATCACACTGAGAGAGATAACCCAGACTCAGAGACAAACTCGGTGTGTTAGCTTTCTTCTGATTCTCTGAGCTACAGATTTTCAGATGCCAGTCCACAGCCTCTAGTCACTGCAGAACAGGAAAGCTAGAAAGGGGTAGGAAGGCCAGGGAGCAACAGAGAGGGGAATAATGGGACACAAGTGATCTGAAGGGGGATGGGGAAGATGGAGGCCTCCAATTAGGGAGGGGGAGGGAGACAGATTAATACAGAAGGATAGAATCAAAGTAAGGATGCCTGAAAAAGGCATAAGGAATCATACAATGAACTAGGTGTTTATGTGTGCACGCACTCTACCAGCTGCACACGCCCTTGGCCTGCAAACTGCTAACTCTTAAGTCATCTGCAATACTCCCTTGTCTCCCTTAAAGTCAGAGCAGGAAGCCTCAGGGGTCCTACCTGGATCAGAGACCTCATGTTGGCAAAGTGCGTGTCCATGGCACCTCCGTGGGGGAAGTTTTGGTTCATCCTCTTCATGAGCTCCGTGAAGCAGCTGAAGGCCAGGGCCTCTGGGGACAGAGCAGGGCAAAAAGTTAGCCAGACCACTGCCTCAGGCACTGGGACTCCCAAGAGACAGCGGAAAGCCCAGAGCAGAGGCCATGATCACACGAGAAACAGATGGGCGGGAAGGACTCAGTGGAGGCCATGCCCTTGGATGCTCAGCAACCTTTAGGGCATCACAAGTCTTGCTTCAGAGACACTGGGAGGAACAGCCTCTCTCAAACATAGACACTCCTTTGAAAGGAGTGTCTCCATTGGTTGGGACACAAAGCCCAGGCTGCTTTGCTGGTCTCCATATTTCTTTCCTTCAGAAATTCTACTGATTCATGGAATTCTCAACTCTGGAAGTTACTGTATTCAAGAGCGACTGCGGGGGGCTGGGGAGATGGCTAAGTGGCTAAAAGCACTGACTGTTCTCCCAAAGGACCCAGGTTCAATTCCCAGCACTCACATGGCAGCTCACAACTGTCTGTAACTGCAGTTCCAGGGGATCTGATGCCCTCACAGAGACTTACATGCAGGCAAAACACCACTGTACATAAAATAAAAATAAATTATTTTTTTTAAAAAAGCAACTGTCAACATAGCAAGAGCTTTGGTTGATGCTATGTAAAGAAGGGAAAACTCCTCTGGCAATGCTGCCCAGAATGTGTATTTACATATATTAAGAAAGTAGGGTTCAGTGGTTAAGAGCACTGGCTGTTCTTCTAGAGGACCTGGGCTTGATTCCTAGCACCTACATGGCAGTTCACAATCATCTGTAATTTGGTTCCAAGGGATCTGTCACCCTTTTCTGACCTCCACTGTAGTCATGTGGTGCACAGATACATAATCAGGCAAAATACTCATACAGCAAATAAAAATAAACAAAACCTCAGACATTGAAAAAAGAAAGCAAAGCCTCTGAGAAATTCTGCAGTACAGAAACTTGACATATCAGACTGCGTTTGGAAAATCTTATTTGAAAGTGGTAGTTTTTCTAGTTTCTCTTAGTAACCTTGGGGAGATAATGCTATTGGAAGCTCCTCAAAGACACTGGATCTCACTCGGGTTTAAAAAGCATCAGGACAGATTACAGAATCTGTGAGCGGTAGATGTCTTCACAGTCTGGCGCCCATCTCCCTGGTGCTGTATTATCTGGCCTACGTGTCACGATTACGGTCACCCTGACATGCTGCTGACTACCGTCTCTCACAGCACCAAACCTCCACTGTTTTGATTGTTTTGATTCCTTTATGCCTTCAAAGCCAGGACCACCTAGGAGACTGCTTAGCTTACCAAGTTTGGCTGCCAGTCTTGGCCCCAGTGGACCAGTTTTTGCTTGCTGAGTTTCTGTAAGATTTCACAACCTTGACCATCCCAGCAAAGTGACCAGCATTTACCTGAAAGCTTTCTTCTAAGAGTGTTGCCATTTTGGTTCTTTCTGGGATCAAGTTCAAGTGTGCTTCTTGTGTGGGGCGAGTGAAGCAGGTCTTCCATCTTTTGCATGTGTGTTTCCCAACACTGCAGCAGCTGCTAACTTGACATGACCAAGCTTGTGGAGTTGAATTGACTGAACTCCAGTCAGTTAGCTAAGTGTAAACTGCAAACCCTTCTTTCAGGACTCAGCTGCAGCCCAGAATCTACACGCAGGCCCTGGTGAAGGCACCAAAGCGCGCGTTCTCTCTGTCTCTGTGTCTGTCTCTGTCTCTCTCTCCCTCAGTATACAACTTGTGGCAGTCAGGTCCTCCCTTTCACCACGTGAGTCCCAGAGGTCAAACTCAGGTCATCAGGCTTGGTGGCAATGCCTTTACCCACTAAGTCATCCATCCCACCTCCGCGACTGGGCCTTCTGACAGGGCTTTCCCAAGTCCACACACAGTAGAGAGGACAATGTCCCCCACTGGCACCAAGCCTTCCAGCTGCAATGGGAGATGTACCCCCCCCCTTCTGCTTCCTCTCCTCTGACCGACAGTGTTTTATGGTGTTTGATAGATAAGCCACACCTTTAAAGGTAGTGAAAACACTTCTTTCTTTAGGAGACAAGACACATGGACTCATCATCTTAGCTTCGCCTCAGGATTGTGCAGCTCAGCTGTGGAGAAATACAAGACTTACGCTTGCGTTCCCCAGCCCTGACAGACTCACTTGCTCTGTTTCTTATTCTTTGGATTTTCATCCTAAAGGCAAATCATCCAGAACCAGGACACACCAAGGATGATTTTAATTCCTTTCCAGTTCTTCTCCCTGCCTCTTTTAATATTTTGAGACAGGACCTCAGGTAGCCCATGCTTGCCTTAAATTCACCTTGGTCAAGGATGACTTTGAACCTCTCATCCTCTGGATGTGCTGGGACTAGAGGCATGGCTATCACACCCTGCCCGTCCTTTATAGTCAGGTGATGTGGGATTCCCCTCTGCATGCTGTGAATATATTTATTACCACTGGCTAATAAAAAAGCTTCTTCAGCCTATAGCAGGGCAGAATATAGAAAGGTGGGAAATCCAAGCAGAGGTAGAGGAGGAAAGAAGGAAAAATAAGGGAGACTCCATGTAGTTGCCAAAGGAGAAAGACATCGGAACCTTACCAATAGGCCACAGCCTCGTGGTGATACATAGATTAATAGAAATGGGTTAATTTAAGATGTAAGAGCTAGCTAGAAATAACCCTGAGTCATTGGCCAGTGTTGTAATTAATAAAGTTTTTGTGTGATTATTCGTGTCTGGGTGGCTGGGAAATGATTGTGCAGCTGCCTCTACATTCAGGTGATGCATTATATTGATTGCATTATATTATATTGATTATATTGATTGATGCTCAGATATTAACCTGTCTTTGCAGTTCTGGGACAAACCCCAGTTGGCCACATTGTCTAATTCTTTATATATTATTGGATTGAATTTGTTAATTATTTTGTGGGGGGGCAGGGGAGGAGAGCTTGTGAAGAACTACTCTCCAATCTTACACTGTTTGGTAGAGTTTATACGAGGGCCACCATCTGGACCAAGTCAGAGGCTCACTACAGCCAGGTGGGCCTCACCACGGTGCACTGTGGGATGAGGATGTCTCATACTACTGGGTTTGGGATGAGTTCACCAGGTTGTGCAACTGTCCTGACCCAGTCCACAGACACAAGTAAGGCTGCCCCTTCTTCTCCCACAGGGCAGGGGGACACACTCACCATCATCCAGGATGACCAGCAGTGGGGCCAGAAGGTCACACATGCCCTGGACGTAGCCAATCTCAATGTGCTGCCAGATGTAGCTGCAGAGAAACAGGGCACAATGAGGGTGCCTACACCCCACATGGCCTGCACCCTCCCAGCCTGCTCCTTCTGAACTCTCCTTGCTCCTTTCTCCTGTCTGGTCCTTCATCCCTCAGTCTGATGCCCACCTTCAGTGTTCCACACATCCTAGGTGCAGCCATCAGAGCAACCCTGCCCAAGAGGGCCTCACAGAGCACAGGACTCTCCACCCAGGGGAGCTGTCATGGGTGCATGAGATCGGAGTATCTTCATCTCCTCCCCCAGACCCACACATCCCTTTCAAGTGCCTCTTCTCTGGCTAGAAGAGGAATTCTTCACTTTGTACAAATACGTGACTCACTAAAGTCTCTAGGGATTGCCCCTACTGATTCCCTCTGTGTCTGCCAGAAATTTGGATCAGTCACTATGAATAACCAGCTTTGACCCACTGGGCCTGGACAACATCCTCAGCCCTGTATGCACCTAGAATCTTTTTTTTTAAAAAATAAGTCTTTATTTATTATGTACAGTGTTCTGCTTGCATGCATAACTACACCCCAGAAGAGGGCACCAGATCTCATTATGGATGGTTGTGAGCCACCATGTGGTTGCTGGGAATTGAACTCAGGACCTATGGAAGAACAGCCAGTGCTCTTAACTGCTGAGCCATCTCTCTAGCCCCTGCACCTAGAATCTTTAAACCTTAAAGTGATCGTGTGAAGTGGGTCTTATCAAGATTATGTTTCTCGGGCAAGGAGACTGAGGCACAGAGAAGCAGCGGAGATGCCCACAGTTGGGTGATAGTTAGTGTTAACGGTCAAGTTGGAAAGGGAGTAAAGGCTAGTCTACATCATGGTGGCCGCTGGGAAACCGTCTTGGTTACACGTTAATCAGTCTAGAAAGCCACAGTCCACTGTGGGCAGCACCATTCCTCAGGCAGGGGATCCTGGACCGTGTGTATAGAGTGAGCTAAGTACTAAGGAACATGTATGCCTCTGTTCTCTCTGCTCTTGACCTTCAGTTTGTCTTATATTATTACTGGTACTATGAATAAAATAAAACTTCATATCAGAGTGATAGCAGCAACAGGAACCAAAGCTGCAGCAGGAGTTTCTACAGACCCCCCTTTCCCACCCCACCCCACATGTCTCCCATCCTCCATCACTTCCATCACCTCATCTCTCACCCACCCCTCCTCCCCGCCCCCAATCTCCCCACCTGTGCTCCCGCACTGCCCCTCCCACTCCCCCAACCGCAGCCACCTGCACATGATGTTCCTCAGCTTCTCCAGGTTGGCGGCTGTGAAGTACCAGTAGCTGCGGTCACACCTCTGCACATCTTTCTCAATGCGGTGGAGGTTCACTGTGTACAGGTCCAGGAGCTCCGGCTGTGGGCAGGAGCGGGACAAAGGGGACACTGACCCCAAGAACTGCTCCCAGCCCTCACCTCCCAACAGTTCACTCCAGAGTTTGTTTTCTTTGTTTCTTGGGAGAGTTACGTTCACTTTGCAAGATGAAAAAGTATCCTTTTGCAACCAGGTCTCACGATGTAGCCCAGGCTGGTCTGGAACTCAAAATCCTCCTGCCTCAACACCTAGAGTGCTGGGACTACAGGCAGACATGTGTGTTCTTGTGCATATGTGCACACTCACACACATGTTCACACACAGTGCATCAGAACAGAATAGTAAGCAAATATATTTAATACATTTAAAAGTGGCACAAAGCTGCCACCCCAGTGCTCAGGAGCCTGAGGCAGGAGAATTGTTGTAAGTTATAAGCTGAGTTACAGAGTGAACTCAAGGCCAGCCCAGGCTGCCTCATGAGCCTCTGTCTGAAAAACGAGGAAACGAAAACATAGATTAGGGACAGGAGCCAGATTCTCCAGTCCAGCAGGGATCTCACAGCACATAGGAGAAAAATAATAAGGCACGTAAAAAGGCATCCAGCTCACATTAGGCACAAAGATTGAAATCAGACATATTTGGTTGCACTGAAGATCAAACCCCAGATCCGGCACACGCCAGGCAGGTCATGAGCTGCACTCCCAGCTCCAGCAGGAGACACCGCTGAAGGGAGAGCCAGTTGCTGGAGACCCAGGGGAAGGTGACCGCTAAGAGGAAAGTGAGAAGGGCATGGGAGGTGTCCCGGCAAAGACCCAGCCAGAGGGGCAGGAGGAGAGAAGAAATGTCGAAGCAGCAATAGCAGTGTACTGAACAGGTAGGACGCTCCAGGACCAACTGAGTCACAAGCCCAACAAACCCTGGCTGGGAACAAAGGGAGACGTGCACCAGAAAGAGTGGAGCACAGTGACAATGAGAGACCTGTAAACACACAGGTACATTGTGTGTCTGTGCGTATCTGTGTGCATATGTGTATATATGTGCCTGTGTGTGCCTGTGTATATCTGTATGTGTATGTCTGTGTGTGAGTGTGCCGTTATATGTGTGTCTATATCTTTGTGTATATCTGTGTGTGCTTGTATGAATGTGCATTTGTCGGTATGTGTCTATGTGACTGTGTGTGTGTCTGTGACTGTGTGTGTATGTATCTGTATATGTATGCCTATGTGTGAGTGTGCCCTTATATGTGTGTCTGTATCTCTGTGTATGTCT